ATAAAAATATAAGTTTAATTTTTGAAGTATTTAATATTTGATTAGTTTTTTATTTATTATTTGAAAATATAATATATAATAATATAAAAACTATTTTTTTAAAAATGTTCCCATATTTATTGAGACATTTATTGTATATATTAATATTATTTTTAATATAATAATTATCTAAATATTTAATAATTTATTTTTATAGAAGTCAGCTATAATTTATAATTTATTTTAATATAATTTATTTTTAATTTGTAAATAATAAATTATTAATAATAATTTGTTTGTCTATCGGAGTCATATATTCGATTTAAAAATTCTAATTCTAAAATATTAAAGTTGCAAGTTGCAAGAAAAAAATTTAAACTCTATAGAAGATTTTATTATTTTTCACTTTAATTTTTTCTCAAAAAAAAACGAATTACATTTTGAACTTTAATTGAAAGACTTCGGTTGAAATTCATTTCATTCATATTTCAATTTCAAATAATTATTAGTTTCTGAATTGATAAAAAAGGTTCGGTATTATACATTTAAAACTGCATACTGAATGCTAATTATCCAAATGTTATTAATATACAATAATTTCATTATAATATAACAGTTTTCATTGTAGTAGTAATTATGTATTAAGTAATCGACGTCTAATAATATTGGTTTTAATATCTATACATAGAATATTCCACTTATAATTCTGATTTCTTATTTTCAAAAAATTAAACACATTTGATTTATGAATTTATTAATATGATTTATTAATATTTTGAGTACGATATATTATATAAATGAGAATAGAAAAAATTTGAAGAAAAAAAGCATTTGATAATTATGATAATTATTATTATTATTATTATATATTATTATATAATTATTATTATATTATTAGATGTGATAATTATTATTTTCATTAGATGTAATAATTATTATTTTCATTAGATGTGATAATTTTTATTTGCTTTGAATAAAAGTGATTCTATATTCAGTATTGGATTAATATTGGATTTTAATAAAAAATAATTTTAGATTTTAATAAAATAATTAAAAATTTTATTTACAATACCATAGAAGTCAGCTATCAAACGATGACTTTTACAATGTATTGATGACGATTTTTACAATGAATTTTAATCATGTCTATATAAATAAAATTCAATGTATAATATTAAAAGTTTTTTATTAATATTTTGGAAACTAATAAATAATTAAAATTTTAATGGAGTTCTTCATTCTCTCTGAACTCGTGTCAATTGATCATTTGGGAAAACTTTCAGAATTTTATCTAAATATAAAATCTAAACATAAATATTTAAATTAAATCATAATAAACTTGATATAATTAGATTAGTAATAGGCTTGTTACTAATTTAAAGTTATTGATTATAAATAGATTATAAAGTTAATCTTTTAACGTATAAAATTATAAAATTAAATAAAATCGAGTATCGTCATTTATATTATTCATATTAGGAAAAATAAAAAATTATATTAATTTATTGATGTATTTAAAAAATATAATGAAATAACAATATTATTCTTAATTTTTACAATAAAAAAAAGATTAAAAATAATGAACAGTTATTAGAAATAATAGAATGATAAAATAATATTAAAATAATATATTTAAATATATTTAAAATAATTATTTTATTTTATATATCTTGTTTAATATTAAATTATATAATAAGTGTACAAATAATGTAGAAAATTATGAATTTATTATAAATATTATACAAATATGAAACTAATAAATTAAAATATTCAAATACATTTTTATATCATGAAATCGGGCCCATCACTACAATCACTAGTAAAGCCGAAAACCGGTGCGCAGGCATGCACATACTGTTTCCCCCACTATTCCCCGGTCCCCTAGTGCAGGTCCGTCGTGCAGTCATGCCCCTTCTCCATTTACCATTATCCGCGACACATTCACTCAAGCAAGCTCCATACTTTTCCCCGCAACCGCCAAGCCCGTTTCTCATCCGATTTGCGTCGACCTACAGCCTGCCGTAGCCAAGCTACATTCGAAACTTCGATCTTCAATACAAGGATTTTTCCGCTTCCCAATATGCATACAATTTTCTAAATTAATACAATTTTTTAGCATGTTTTCGAGTGAATTAAGTCTGAAGTGAATTGAGTAATTGTAAGTGTTAGTGCTGTTTTTCAATTTACGTGTAACGTTAATGTTTAGTGGATTAAAAGTGTAATTTGGAATACCGATAGAAGAATCAAAGAACTTCTATTACAAGACATACTGTGGAATTTTTGATTTTTGATTTTTGGATGAAGGAAAATTCTATGTTTAGTTATAATAGTGAGATGTTTGAAATCTTTGTCATTGAATATTACGAATCTTTCTTTCTTTTATTCTGAAGATGATTTTAATGGCTGCTCAGATATTTAACGAAAAAATATAGATTTTTCTTAATTTTATTATGAAATTTTCATCAAGTTTTTTAGTATAAAAATTTTTTGTTTAATTAGAATATTAATTGTGAAACATGTTATTTTTCGATACATTTATTTTTTTGTTTCTTTTTTGCATTATTAGAAAATTATTAAAAATTTCAAATAATTATTTTACTAATTTTTCAATATTTCAAAATCAATTTTTTTTCAATATTTCCCAATATCAGTAATTGATTAAGTAATAACTTGTAATAAATAATAAATTTTATGAAATCAATAAACATTTTTAATAATTTGAAAATTCTCACTAGATAATTCATAATAAAACATTGGAGTAAATGATGCGGAAATTGCAATACTTTCTTGCTTTTTGAAAACTTTTTCAATCATTCTTTTTATTGGTCGAGAGAGACTAGAATGATTGGAATTTGTTCTCCATTGACAACATAGTGATTTTTCGACTCGATTTCTTATCTTCTAAAATTTTTTATTTTCAATGTATATATATATATATTATATATTATATATTTATTTATATGATTTATATGATTCAAATTTTGCTTCGTAGATTCAAATTAAATTTAGAAAATGGAAATTTCATTGAATTTCATCAATATAGAAATTTAAAATTTTGTTTTATTAATAAGAATCAATATTCTATATAAGTTAATCTTCAATGGTATTTTAATAAAAAATTTTAATATAAAAATGATATAAAAATATAATTAAAATTTAAAAAATTAATTTTGATTTAATATCCTGTGATGATTTAGCAAAATATGGGAAATAATTTATTTTTAATTAGAAATTTTGCTTTGAAATTTGAAGGAAAGAAAGAGAAGAAAAATTTTTAATAATAAAATTTATTATTTTAAATTTTTTATATATAATTTATATATAATTTATATATATTTATGATTTATATAAACTTATAATTTTATGTAAATAGCATATAATGGATACT